GAACACTCCTCCATTGCTGGTGGGATTGCAAACTGGTATAACCACTCTGGAAATCAATCTGGCAGTTTCTCAGAAAATGGAAATAGGTCTACCTGAAGACTCAGCTATACCACTCCTGGGCATATACCCAAAAGATGCTCCAACATACCACAAGGATACATGCTTCACTATGTTCATAGCAGCCTTATTCATGATAGCTAGAAACTAGAAACAACCCAGATGTCCCTCAATCAAAGAATGGATACAGAAAATGTGGTTCATTTGCACAATGGAATACTATTCAGCTATTAAGAATAAGGACATCATTGATTTTGCAGGCAAATGGATGGAACTAGAAAATATCTCCTAAGTGAGATAACCAAGACCCAAAAGGACAGGCATGGTATGTACTCACTGATAAGTGGATATTAGCCAAAAAGTAGAGAATACCCATGATACACCACCCCGACTTTAAGAGGTTAAACAAGAAGGAAGGCCCAAGTGAGGATGATCCAATCCTACTTAGAAGGGGAACATAATAAACATAGGAAGCAGAGGGAGGGAGGGATAGGGGTGAGAGGGGAAAGGGGAGGGCAAAGGGGGGCAGGATCGGGTATGGGGGAGACAGGAAAGAGACCTCGAGGGCCAGAAAAATGAATGGAAATACGCAGATGCAGGGTGTATGGGGTAAGTGGAAATTCTAGAAAGTTCCAGAGACCTGGGACAGGGTAGGGTCTCAAGACTCAATATGGATAACTTTAGTCAAAATGCTCAACATTGAGAGGATGGAACCTGAAGAGACCACGTCTAGTAGTCAGACAGGACCTCCACTGGAGGGATGGGGACACCAAGCTACCTACAAATCTTTTGGCCCAAAATTGCTCCTGTCTACAAGAAATACAGGAACAAAAATGGAGCAGAGACTGAAGGAAAGGCAGTCCAGTGACAGGCCCAACTTGGGATCCATACCATGGTCAGACACCAAACTCTGACACTATTACTGATGCTATGCTGTGCTTGCAGACAGGAGCCTAGCATGGCTGTCCTCTGAGTAGCTCTACCAGCAGCTGACTGAGACAGATGCACTCACAGCCAAGCATTGGACAGAGGTTGGGGATCCCTATGGAAGAGTTAAGGGGAAGACTGAAGAAACTGAAGAGGATCACATCTCCATAGGAAGAACACCACCACTCAGAGCTCCCAGAGCCTAAATCACCAACCAAATGAGCATACATGGGCTGGGCCATGGCCCCTGGCACATAGGTAGCAGAGGGCTACTTTGTCTGGCCTCAGTGGGAGAGGATGGGCCTAATCTTATAAAGATTTGATGCCCCAGGGTGGAGGGACACAGGGGGCGAGTACTTCCTCGAAGACAACTAGGGTAGGGTGGGGAGAAGAACTCTTTCAGGGGGTCTAGGACAGAGGGCAACATTCGGCATGTAAATAAATAACATAATTAACTAAATGTAACTGAATAAACAATAAAAAAGAGTGCTTCCTGAGCTAGATAGGGTGTAGCACACCTGTAAGCCCATCACTTGGTAGGTAGAGGCATAAAGATATTTGCAATTAACAGATTTACATCGTTAGTTCAGGACGAGCCAGGGGTATAGACACTATCTCATCAACAGTAAGAAACTCCAAATAAACCAGTCTGTACAGAGTGAGCACTAGGCCAGTACCCATGGTAAGACCTTGTCTCAGAAAGTAAACTAAAGGATCAATTAGATGACTCCTACAGTAAATTGGCTGCTGCACAAACCTGATGAACCAAGTTCGATCCCTGGATCCCACACTGGAAGGAAAAAAAAATGACTCCCAAATATTTTCCTTTGACCACCATGCTGTGACACAAAGTATACCCACACTTCCTCACACACAGGAGCACACATACACACACCATCATCAACATCATTTACATAACTGCACATGTGAGCTTGCATGTATATGCATGCATGAACATACATATAAATACTAGAAAATTTAAAGAAATAGAAAATAAAATGCACAAAAAGAATAGAAAAAAAGGAAGTGATTTGTGTTCTTAAGAGGACCCAAGTTTGGTTCCCATCATCCACATCCACCTGGCAGTTTAAAACTGCCTGTAACTCCAGCTTCAGGAGATCTGATGTTCTCTTCTGGCTGGTACAAATGCCAGCATACACATGTGGATACTAACACAGAAGCACACAGACACACATATAAAACAAAATTTTACAGAACTATTGCTTTTAGAATCTACACAAGTAGAGAGACCAGGAAAACAGGTACCAGAAAATCAATAGGCTGTCGGAAACCATGCAGGCAGTGAGAAATGTGAGAAAAAATACAATTCACACCACAGAATCGATAAAAGGGTCAGAAAATGATAGCAGCAGGTATTCTATGAGGAACAGCAAGAGGTGGGAAGTGACTAAAGAAAGAGAATTTTTGTGATGGCTTTTTGAGGTGTAGATACTTCTATCACCTCCCTCCCTCCCAGCAGATATCTGGAGGCTTCTCTGGGCTGCAGAATACCAGGCACAGCAAAGAAACTGACTACTACACTCAAAAATATTTAAATATCCAATGCACACTAAACCCTGCATGCATAGACACCCCCCATCTCTTAGAAAGCTAACCATCAGATAATAACTCCTCATACAGGAGACTGGAAAATACTTCTCTTGGAAAAGTGATCAAACACTTAAATCCTAAAGATAATAAATGTCCTAAGAGGTTTCCAGAAAAAGAAATAAAGCAGAGAATGTTAGAAGCAAGATTCTAATTGGCCTCCTCTGGTCTCTCCACACATACAAACACATACTACACCTGCCCCCCGCCCCCAAACACAGTCAGTTTAGACACAACAAAAACTGGTGGAGTGTCTGGATAAACCTCCAGTAAAGCTCCGGGTCTCCATACATTTCTATATATTGATAGTTTTTATTATTTTATTCTCACACATTTTACGGGCTCTACCTTTGTAGCCCAGCATGGCCTAAAAGTTATATACAGCATGCTAGCCTTAAACTTTGTGGGGGAGGGGGTCCTCCTGCTTTAGCCTCTCGAGTGCTAGGATTGTGCCATGGATCACTATGGCTGAATATTCCCACACTTTTAAGTATATGCACACATATGCATATAGCAATATTGTCAGACCTTTGAAGAAGACATGAAAAATAGAGACTAAAAACAATTTTCAAAATGGGAAAGTAAACTTGAAAGAAATGACATTATCCATCAAAAAAAAGAATATACATTAAAGTCACTAATATAATAAGAGAATGAATGAGATGGTATTGCATCCATATGACACAGACAAGATGTTCTGGTGTGTGTCTGTTAGAGAAATGTACCCTGTAGGCTGAGATGTTTCAACACTTGGTCCCCAGTCAGTGGTGATGCTTGGGGATTTTATAGCACCTTTACAAGGTATGGCCTGGCTAGAAGATGCATATCACTGGAGAAGGGTTTGGAAAATTCCAATTCCAGTTTATTCTCCCTCTGCTTTTGTGCTTGTGGTTGAGGGTGTGATCTCTCAGCTTCATGCTCTAGGCACTGGCCTCCATCCTTCCCCAACACTGTGGACTCTTGCTGTGGGACCATAAAGCCAAAGCAAAACCCTGTCCTTTATATAAGCTGTCTTGGTTATGGTGTTTATTACAGCAATAGAAAAGTAACAGAATATACATGCTAAGCAACTCCTGTGTTAGTAAACCACCTCTCTGTCCCTGGCAAGCTATGCTTCATAGGGACATTAAAGAAGAAGCCACACATGGTGACACACACAAGGAATTTCAGTACTTAAGAAACTGAAGACTGACTCAAGTTTAAGCCTGGCCAGGATTACACTGCAAGACCTTGTCTCAAAAACAAACAAAAAAAACTGAACAAATTAAAAATTCAATGATGATAAAGCAAAAGAAGCAGAAAAAAATTCAAAATCTAGAAAGTGGAATGAACGCTGGATGTGGTACTTCAAACCTCCATACTTGCAAGACAAAAGCAGGAATTGATACAAGCCAGAAGCCAATCTGATATACATAGTAAGTTCTAGGCCAGCCAGGGCCACATAGTAAGACCCTGTCTCAATGAAAACAAGACAAAACAAATTCAAATCAGCCTTGGGAAAGATCTCAACAGAAGAGCACCTGCCTTGCATATGCAAAGCTTTCAGTTTAATTTCCAGTGCTGCAAATAAATGAAAGTAATATAATTTATACAAAACAAAAAGCACATCTATAAAAGAAAACATTGATTCACAGGGCACATCCATGTTCACATTGTTTGCTATACAAAAGATAAGCACTGCACAAAATAGTTTTCAGAGAAATGGCTTATACACATTTAAAAATAACCTCTAAGAATGTGACAAGAAGGAAATCAAGTAGGTAATCCTGATCATTACACTGCTTGCCTAGCAAGCTCGAAGGCCCATTTGATCTCTAGCACTACTTAAGGCCAAATGCAGTATCAAATACTTGTAATCACAGACACACACTCACACACACACACACACACACGCACGCACAGGTGGGGGGAGAGGGACGGAGGGGGAGAGAGTCATTAAAGGACTGAATGAACTACTTTCACAGCCCCTACATAGCAGCAGCCCCACCTCCATATTGACTATAAATAAACCTACAACTGTCACTAATGATGCTGCAGTGACAAGGAGAGACAGGAAAAAATAATCACTGAAGACAGCAACAAGGAGAATAACAAAATGCTACGTATAAATTGTCACCATAGTATGATGTGTAATGCAAGACGTTTACCTATGATAAGTATTTTGAGAATCTGCTTCAAAAACAAAGATCAAAATGGAACACGTACGATTGCCATCTCTGTGCTGGCGTTAACATGTAGAAGACAGAAAGAGTGCAGACATAAAAGTAAGGGAAAGTGCAGCTACAGAAACACAGTAGTCATTCAACACCTTCCTACTCTTCATTATAGCACACAATATGGTTTTTCCCAAGATTAAACCTAAAAAAAGAACATAATTGTATAGAGATAAAAGAATATGAGATACTAACCCAGGAAATAACAATGTTGTCAGCAAAAAATGCATCTTCCAGTTTACACCTTTAAATGCTAAAGAAGTAAAAAAAAAACACAATAGTTAATGAAATGTTTTGAATGATATCATTTTACCAACACAGTAGTAATCAGACTATAATTACAACTGAATATGTTGGCTAAAATTCCATGTAATCTTTTCTGATTTTGTTCTTTACGGCCTTTCAACTCCTATATTTAACCCAGCAACTTTCTGGAATCATAACAGCAGTCATGCTTACTCTTGTGCATTTTGGCAGACACATATCCAGCAGGGATTTCCAGTATGAGCCACAGCACAACACCATAGTTCACTAAAGCAGTTTGCTCAGAAGGAGTAAGAAAACCAAGACCAGCCAGAACTAAAGGCAGAAAAATAAAATAAAAGTCGCATGAGAATAGCCTGAAGATTGTCTAAGAACTTAAGTATTACCACATTTAAAGCATTATGTAAAACAATATGCAAGGAAATATTCCAAGGATAATATTTAAATCATGTTTCAATAAAACAATATTTGTTTATCTACTTCCCTGACAATTTCTTAAGTGAAAAGGTTTGGCTTTCAGTTTAAGGTATATGGAAGTTTTATACTTGAGTTAGTCTTTAATTTCACTAGACCAAAATCAGATACTATCTCTTTTGCCCTATTCCAATAGTCATCTTAAGAAGAGCAAATTAATTTTTCCCTCAAAAATTTCTTCTTTCTGTATTTTGCCAAAGTAAAGAATTAAAAAGTTGAAGGTTTAGTTTCTTGGGGAAAAAGTGCCTTCAAGTTGACCGTTTAAAATTACCACTGTCCTCTGAAGCATCTAATAAGCCACCTTCTGCAGCAACTTTGCTTATAAAATCATTACTCTGGCTATACAACAGTGCCGGGCTCCATCTTTAGCTCATAAATTAAGGAAGCACATATCCATAGGTCATTGTTAGAATGACTACTAAACATGTAGTTTGATAGCTGGGCATGGTGGCATATGTCTGTTATCCCAGAATTTGAAAAGTGAAGGCAAGGGATCAGGAGAAGAAGGCTAGCCTTGGCTACATAAAAAAATCTAGACCAGTACGTGCTACATGAGATCCTGTCTCAAAAAATAAAATAAAAGCCTGGGGATATAGATTGATTAGTTGAGTGCTTGCCTAGAAGGCACTAAGTCCTGGGTTTGATTCCCCAGGGCTTCATAAACTGGTTGTGGTGAAAAGTGTCTGTTTATAGTATCATCACGTGAGAGGAGGAGGAAAGATGATTAGAGGTCCAATTTCATCCTCAGTGACATAAAACTCTAGATAAGTAAATATTAAAAGCAAAATATAAAAAAATAAAACTAAGAATACCATTCCATCTGTACACTTTAAGATCTGTACCTGTGGTCTAAGGCCATAGTTCAGTCTGCAAAGTGCTTACCTTGCAAATACAAAGACTCAAGTTCAGTATCAAGAACCTGGGCTAAAATAAATCTAGACATGGTGGTACACTTCAAGTCAAAGCTCTAGGGAGGCATACAGATGGCTCTCTGGGATTACTGATTGGCCAGCCTACTTTACTTGGTAAGTTCCAGGCCAGCCAGTGAGAACTCTTATCAAAAACAAAACAAAACAAAACCAAAAAAGCAGAGAAATTGAAACCTCAAAACCCTGCACTTAAGCTTGCCATGAGATTTCAAAATGTTAGCCTTTGTTTCAAGTGTTCCCCCAGTCCACTGAAAATAGGACTCTACTCATGTACCAATTTTAAAAAAGGAATCTATCTTACAATTTAAGAAACATGTGCTGCAGTTTGGGGATTTTTTTATTTGGTTTGGTTTGCGTGGATTAGTTTATTTAAGTCAGGTTCTGACTATAGAGTTCTGTCTGTCCTAGAGCTCAGTATGTAGACCAGGCTAGACTAAAATTCACGGACATCTGCCTGTCTCTCTCTCCCAAGTGCTGGTATTAAAGGTGTGTGCCACTGTGCCCGGCCATGCTGGAGTCTTTAAATAAATAATTTAGAACTGAACAAGCTAGATAAGGTTTCTGATAGAGGAACATTCTCAAACTCACATCTGGAATTTGAAAAGAAGAAATGTGAAGCATGAAAAACATGGATTTTCTTAATCCATACATTTTTCATTTTGTACTTATGAATCAAAGCTTAATATATGTCACGAGTTTACTACAAATGTTTAAACTATACCTAACTGTACTCACATAAAGACAGAAAAGTCATTATGAAAACTTGTGTTCCTTGACCAAGAAGGATAGACAGCAACATTCCATGCTCTGGGAGCCTGAATACACTCCCATGAATCAACCTCCAACCAAACTGCCTCCGGTCACATACCTGTATGTGAGAAATTCCTTAATAACCATGTAAGTTCATATGATAAGTTAGATGGAATGGAATTTTCCACTCACGACAAACTAACTGGAAAGTAATGGCTATGGATTTAGCAGGTTTCTGGATGGTGTATGAGCCAGCTACAAGAATAAATTGACTCTCTTAATTTATGTTTTGGATGTGTTAAATTATATAAAGCACATCGCTTGCAGTATTTTCAGAAAACAAGTGAAATGAGTTAACCTAAGGAACTCAATAGACTCATAGAAATTTAAAATTAATCAATATGCAAACATTTACAAAAACCAACTGTAAATACAGTATAACATAAATTATACTACCTTGCAATGTTTGCTATATCTATCTCATGTTTCAAGTCAATTATGAGTTTTTAAAAGTGGTATTCATAGTTATGAGAAACATACAAAATATAACCAGAGTTAAAAACAAACAATTCTTTAAATAAACTTGTCCTTTTAAACAAACCTATACAACTTTATACTTTCTGATGGTATAATTCAGTGGTTTTCAACATCTTCAGTATATACAACCCCTTGTGGGGTCAAATGCCATTTCACAGGGGTCACCTAAGACCATTGGGAAACACAAATATTTACATTATAATTTAAAACAGCAGCAAAATTGCAGTTATGAAGTAGTAACAAAGTAATTTTATGAAGGCACATGCCTTCACATACATACTCTACACAAATAAATAAAAATGCCTGTGGTGGTTTTAGTGAGAGCAGACCCGAAAGGCCCATGTATTTGAATGTTTAGTCTTTAGTTGGTGGAAGAATCAGAAGGTATTACCTTGTTATAGAAGGTGTGTCACTAGGAGCGGGCTTTGAATTTTCTTTTGCTTTTTTTTGTTTGTTTGTTTGTTTGTTTGTTTCCTGGAACTTACTCTGGAAACCAGGCTGGCCTTGAACTCACAGAGATCCACCTGCCTCTCCCTACCAAGTGCTGGGACTATAGTTGTGTGCCACCACCACTGCCACCATCCAGTGGCTTTGAGCTTTTAAAAGCCTATCCTATGCCCAGTTTCTCCCTATCTGCCTCCAAGTTGCTGAAAAGGTCTAAGCTATGGGTCTAAGTATGGGTAACTGCTCCAGTGCCATGGCTGTCTGCCTGATGCCAGGCTCCCTGCCAAGATGGTCATGGGCTAACCCTCTAAAACTGGAAGCAAGCCTCTAATGAAATGTTTTCTTTATAAGTTGCCTTGGTCATGGTGTCTCCTCACAGCAATAGAAAAGCAACAAAGCATAATGAAATAAAATCTTTTTCAAATAAAAATGCTAAATTTCTGGGGTTTTTTGTTGTTGTTTTGTGAGTCTTTTGAAAAGTTCAATTTTAAATTTATTTCATACACAGTTTGTGTCAATGTAGCATGCTCACCCCAGTAAGCTGTCCTGCTTCCCGTCTACTGCCACTGATCCTCTCCTCGTCTAACCTAGTTTCTCTTCTAGCTTCATTCATTCATTCATTCATTCAATCATTCGTTCAATCATGAATTTCATTAAGGTTGCTTATAGGATCATAGATGTGAGATAAGGAGGTCTGGAAGTATGGTCTCCTTATCATTGGCTACTCCATAGAAGAAAATGTCTCTCCCCAGCAACCATTAACTGCTTACACATACTCAGGAAAGGGGGGATTTAAGAAGAATCACCAACTTGCAAAAGTTGCATGTATCATAGTATCACACTTTTCCTTACTTTTAGTTTACTTTTACAGCTTTCTTCTGCCCTCAGTTGCCTTGTTAGAGAAAATGGGAGTGATAGAGCAAGCGTTAAACATACACTTTCACTTCTTCTCTACATGATCTCCTAAGCTGTCAACTTTTCCTCTCTCATTGCCAGTCCTTTCTAACCCCGATCATTGTGGACTTAGTTCATCCATCCCTCAATTCCACACTGAAATTATTCCTCCCATGGTCAGATTTCCAATTATGTGATTTGATCCTTTTGAAGGTTCCTAGAGATTCAAGATCTTTTACTTGGAAGATACTTCAATGGAAGCATAATTTAAGCAGAGGCCTTTTTACTTCATTAGCCACACAGAGAGACTATAGTGGTACTCAGGATAACAGGAACTAAAAGAACATCCTGTCAAATAAATGGACTCTCTCTGCCAGCCATTATTTCCATACAATCCTCACAGCTGAATAACCTGCTTTGATGAAATGGTCAATTTGAGAGTTGTTTTTCAAGTTTGAACTGACTTGAAAACTTCTTCCCTACTGACTAGCTTTCATTGTGCCAGGAGGTACTAGGCAAGCTTCTAGGGAAAAGTTTCAAAGATACACCTGCAGCCAACCCGGTATGCTCCAATACTGACCTGCCAGGCAATATGTTCCTACTAGCAAGATAATGGCAGAAAGGTTACTTGAGCAAACAGCTGCTTTTGGATTAGATTAGATTTGAAGCCTTCTCCACAAAAAGGAATTTAGGGCTGGTGCTATACAGATGGTCACAAGTCCATTATGGCTAGAAGGTCACAGGCCATGGAAGAAGGGAGAATTTAAATGATACGCTATCAAACTGCCTTCTAAATATTTATGTTTATGTCCATAGATTATTAGTTCTTCCCTCAAACATGATCGAAGAAGTTTCTGTCTACAGTGGTCAGCAGTTAATCTAGATGCCCATAACTAGTCAAAATGCTGAGAATAACTGCCTATTGAATGCCAAGCCTTAAATGGGACATCTATATCAATTCTTACCTCCAAGGGAGCATCACAGAAGAGAAATAGAAAGAATACAAGAGCCACAAGATAGGGGAGTGCTGTGAGATGCTGTCTTTGGGACATAACAGTCATGTACCAAAAAACTCGCTGCAGCTATGATTAACTGCACAAGATCAAGTCAACAAGATCAGTCAACTTTCTAACGATCAGCACTGATTAAACTCAGTATGCTATTAACACACACACAAAAAGGAGAGGGGACATGTTATGGTGCCTAGAGGGAGAGATAGGGGGAGCTGAGAATGTGCATCATCAGGTCCATTGTTGATATGTGTGAAAGTATCAAAGAATAAAAAAAAAAACTATTCTCTTTTTAAAAGCTGGTGACTCATCATATTAAGCCTTCAATAATCTCTTTCCAGTTTTTCATGGCATTCCGACCTCCCCCTACCTAACCTGATTGCAAATTTTTCTTACTCTTGGATTTGCTCAGACCATTTAAGCCCATAGACAGACAGTGTGTTCTATTTTGTTTGTTCTCTGTCTCTTTCTGCCTACTTTCTATTTTTTATACTGTATTAGACTGACCTATCTTCCTGCTACTGTCCTCCAACTGTTGGGATCACTAGTGTGTGTCACTATGCCCAACTCTGGTTTCGCCCATTGCATAAAGCTTACTTCCACCATCATATCTTGCTCACGACCACCATCATGTTGTCTACATGATGTTGTCCACATGAAGACACAACATGTATGACACCACAGGTTCCTTTCCCTTCAGCATAAACATTACTATATGTAAAACATATTTTCTTTTCACCAGATATGTTCAGAGGAAGAAGAAGAGAATAAGAGAGGAAACTGGCCCAAAAGAAATGCCACTCAGTATCATCAGTAGTGACAAAATACCTTAACTTAAAAATAAATATCTTATCTTAACCCTTGGAGAAAACAAGCATGAGGATCAAGAATTTGTATACCCTTGGCTATACAGCGACTTCATGGCAAAGCTGAGATACATGAGACTGTCTCAAAACAATAATAACAAAAGGATATTTATAGGAAGAGGAGACAACCAAGTAGTAGAGCCCCTGCCTTTCATGTATAAGATCGCAGGCTGAATCTCCAGTGCACCCCACCCCAGCTAAAAATCAAGAGAAAATCATCATGTATGTTTTCAATCCTCAAGCTACTTTGAGTGTATTTCCTGAAGTGCTTACCTAACCCACTGAACGTTCGTCTCAGTTGTAGTCTCCAAATCATAATCGTCTTCCGAGGACCACTCGGTAGCTTTACTTTCCTAAAATGAAATAGAAAATCAAATGACTTTACCTTATCTTTGCTACATAAGCAAACATAAGCCACTTCCAGCTTCATGGAATCATGATCTCCACCTTTACATATGAAGATTGCTTTCACCTAGTAATGTCTGACCTCATTACATGAAAGAACTAGAAGGCAAAAGCAGACTGATCTCTGTGAGTTCAGTGCCAGCTTGATCTACATAGCAAGTTCCAGGACAACCAGGGATATATAGAAAGACTGTCTCAAAACCCAAAATGAAAAGGTAAAAGAACGCACTAGGAAGAAAATTGTTGTGATCCAACAAAAACAGCATCTTTCTATTACTTTTTATGTAGTCTCAAACGCTTTAGATACTTCCCTTTTCCCTTTTATCCTGACATATTTCCATTTACATTGTAACTTTTTCTGATGCTTGCAAAAGTACATAAAATTTTACATGATAAGCCACTGTAATATTTGTAAAAATAAATAACAACCAAAAATGTTCTTTGGGATTAAAATAGATGATGGGGATCTATGCTAACATTGAAAAGAATGAAATGCATCACAAGAGACCTGTCTAGGAGACAGAATTGACTTTAGGAAAGTGAGAAGTGCATATAGCAAAATTCTATTTTTCCAGCTGGCAAGATGGCCCAGCAGGTGCTTATTGCACAAACACAAAGCAAACTTGATTCCCAGAACCCATGGACAGGTAAAGAAGAAAATAGACTCCACAAAAATTGTCCTCACCTACTCATGTACACACCTACACACACACACACACACACACACACACACACCTATACACACACACATCTACACACACACACACACACACACTGCTCACACATAATAATTTTTTTTATTTTTAAAAATCTCACCCCACCATATACCTATATTACATATACCTATATTACAGATGCAAACATTTTTCTGGAATGATAAATTACAAAAAAATAATGTTATGCTTTCATAAAGAGAAATTAAGGATAAGAGAACAAAGGTAGAGAATTTTCTTACACTTACTCTATATAAAATATCTACAAATATACAGTCATCATTGATATTAAGTTAAAATAAAACACAACTAGTTTACTACGACTCAACTACTTTGCTTTTTACAATTTCATGGTCATTCCCAGCTATATCGTTGAGTTCAAGGCAGCCTGTAATAAAGGAGAGTCCATCTCAAATAAACAACAACAAATAAAAAAACAGAACAGAAAATGGGGGGAAAAAATTCAGCCGAAACATCAGCAGTGTTTAAGCATCATTTTTGCACCAAATACTGCCATCTTCTGGAAATACTATGTCATAACATGTACTAGTCATGCCAAAGAAAATAAACTATTTTACAAATATAAGGCACATGAGAACAAAATGACAAATATAAAAAGATAACTAAGTAACAGAGAACCTATTTTGTGATCGTCTTAAATTAATGAATTATTCTTGGTCTTTATCTCAAAGCATCAAAATCTTTTTGTAAGCTAGCAATTTGTGTAAGAGATCTGTCTAGGAGACAGAATTGACTTTAGAAAAGTGAGGAGTGCATATAGCAAAATTATATTTTTCTAGCTGGTAAGATGGCACCAGTGACACAGCAATGAGATGGATACAAAAACTTCTTTATGCACAGTACAGAACCCCATAATGTGTTATAGTCAATAGAAATGATACAGAGTCTCAATTTTGTAGGGAATTTGATCTTATAGACCAGTGGTTTTCAACAGGAAGCATAGCCTACAGGGCAGAGTAAAAATGTGAAGCTGCCACTGGCATTCAGAAAGCCAAGTGTCCTGCAGTGCACAGGGAGATGTACATACCAGTGAAGTGAGAAAAACTGTGCTGTGTCCCATAGCTTTCAAATGTCCAATCCAAAATCCACGGAGGTGAGAAACTGCTTATGATTGCTTGCCCTTTGATTATAGCTCTGCTCTATAAGGTATTTTATATGATTTCAATACACACTAAATATTCCCACCCAAGAAGGCACTGTCTTTTGTAAACTGGGAAAAAATAGTACTATACTTGTTTGGGAATGATACTAAAATTGATTGACATTTCAAGAAGTCATAGCATTAGAAAAATAGCAATATTGGGGCCAAAAATTTGCAATATTCTTATCTGCCCATTATCACACTGAAAATGACAATTCACATAGACGCAAACATATAAAATGGATAAAATACATTAAGGGTATATTATTTTATTAATAGTTACTAATTCTCCTAAATGTTATTAGGATGTCACACTAGTACTAGTTAAAATTAAATGCATAGACCAGTTTTGTCTCCTAATAACTATTAGTATTATGGTAGAATAGCATAGGGTGAGTTGCAAAACATTTGTTATTATGGGACATAAATCTGACAGAGTTGAAAGCCCCTGATCCAGGTTAGCTCCCTCATTTTATGATAAGGAAACTGGGGTCCCAGGGAAAGGGGAGAAAGCACTTGCTTAGAGTCACAATATTAGTTTAAGGCAGGCCAGATCATAAATCTTCTGATTCTTCATCAGCTACTGGCCTATGCTGTCTGAATGTCAAAACTGCACTTTCCAACAAAACAATGTCGTAAGGCTAAGAGGAATAACTCAGTGTTACAAAACACACCTAGCATATGCAAAGCCTTTAGTTCCATGATCCACACTGCAGAACAAACAGAACAGACAGTGTTGTGAATGTAGGTAGAGTCTCATGCTAGCTTATAAGCAAAGATTATTAACTAGAATTTACATCAAAAATTATACCATTAGAATGAAACAAACACATCTTTGTTTGATGATAGCATGAAAACAGTAAGGCTGATATGTGCTCACAAACTGAAGCAGCAAGCACAGGGACTGCAGGAGTCTACAACATGCCCTCTGCATATATGTTATGGCTGCTGGCTTGGTGTTTTTGTGGGGCTCCTAACAGTGGGAGCTGGACTCTTTTATCACTAACACTGACACTTTTGTCTGTTCTTGGAATTCTTTTCTTCCTATGGGGTTGCCTTGTTCAGCCTCAGTATCAGGGTTTTTGTCCTGACTTAATTTACCTTGTTTTGTAGTGTTTGGTTGTTGTCTCTTGGAGGCCTGTTCCTTTCTGAAGAGAAAAAGGAGGAGGAGTAGATCTGGGGGAGAGGGGATATAGGGGAGGGGAGGAACTGAGAGGAGTGGAGGAAGGGGAAACTGCACAGGATATATTGTATAAGAGAAGAATCTATTTTCAAGAATTTTTTAAAGTAAGGGTTATTTTTATTCAGTTGGGTTTTAATTATTTGGGAAGTTAATACAAGCAAACAATATATTTTAAACAAATTCATATCCCCAGCCTCTCCCTTCTAACTCTTACCATAATCCTTACCACCTTTCTCTCCAAACTTCATTTACTTTCTCTCACTAAATGGACACTGTGTTAAAATAAGAGTATATGAAGTGTGATATTTGGTTTTTTATTTTTAATAGGGTTTTACTATGTAGCTCAGGCTAGCCTCCAATTCATGACTGCCCTGCCTCAGCCTTTTCAATGCTATAAAACAGTTTATAAAATAAAAGTATTATGAACACATACATTTTAGACTAAGATTCAAGGATTCATAATAGACACTCTATCCATAATCCATAATAGTAAGTAATGAAGGCAACAACTTCATAATAAGAATTCAAATATTTGTCATAAAAATAGTGTTCACTCAAATAGTAATATAAATGATTCATCTTTCCTTTTGAATAAACTGTTTTGTATTATTTGAAAACATGTATCATTCTCTGAAGACATTAAAGTACATTTACAAAGATTCTTAAATAAAAGGCAAAATAAGATTGAGGCATGATAGCTCATAGGCTCATACTGATAATCCCAACACTTAGGAGGCTAAAGCGGGAATCACCACAAATCAGAGGCCAGACTGCTGCAGTTAGTTCCAGGCCAGCCCATCCTACAGCGTGAAATTCTTTCTCAACACTTCTCCTATCTCACTCCAAAACACAGGCAAAACAAAACCTGAAAAATTAAAGATTATTATGCTACATCTGGGCTTCTCTATGACCAATATCTGCTCGGCCAGGGGTTCAAGCTCTCAATGTCACACAAAGTTCATAAACTCTTGGGGCTAAAGAGCAGTTTGCAGGTGGCTGGCTGCTTTAATGTGCAAGGAGAAGTCATCCTGGGTGCACAGGGACTATAATTCAGGGTGTTAGGGGAATGTACCTACGGCATGGTGCTGACCTCCATTAATCAGTTCAATATGTATACAGCATTTGGCTTTCAATTTATGTCCCTTTGTCCTTATGTCACAATCACACCTGTGTCCCCCCATCCCATTTCCTGAGTGTCTATATACCAGAGGCACATGTAAGACTTCCCACAGTCGAAAGCAGGATGATACACTGTGGTTCACCACAGTTACAGGGTCTAGGATCGATCCATGTCCTGGACTGTGATGAAATTTCCTGTTCTAGGAGAAGCAGGGAAAAAAATATGTTGAAGACAGAGACAGGAATTACACATGTATAGGTCCATACCTTCACCAAGAGAACAAGTACTAGTCATATGTCACACCTGAAGCTTGGGTCATACTAAGATAGATGAGGCCGAATGAATAGATGAATTCACACTATATTTGAAACAGTCCATATAATGAAAAAAATATATTTCTGTGCCCCAATAATATCAAGCAAAAATAAACAAAGCAATATAACAACAAGCAGTTTACTAAAACTTCTTGAGAAAATAGGATCATCAGGCAGAATATTCACTAGGAAAATTATATATAATATATAATATATAATATATACTATATTAATCTTATATAATATATATTATATGTTTATAATTTATAATTGTAAATTATTTATATTTATATATAATTTCTAATTATATTCCTCATATACCATATGCCATATATCATACATTGTATATTATATGATCATCTCATTAGATGCTGAAAAAGCCTGTGACAAAAACCAACACCCTTTTATGTCTTGGAGAGATCAGGAATTCATGGCACATATATAAACATAATAAAAGCAATATATAGCAAACCAACAGCCAACATCAAACTAAATGGAGAGAAACTTGAAGCAATCCCACTAAGATCAGGGACTAGACAAGGCTGCCCACTCTCCCCCTACCTATTCAATATAGTACTGGAAGTCCTAGCCAGAGCAATTAGACAACAAAAAGAAGTCAAAGGGATACAAATAGGAAAGGAAGAAGTCAAAATATCACTATTTACAGATGATGTGATAGTATACTTAAGTGATCCCAAAACTTCCACCAGAGAACTCCTAAACCTGATAAACAACTTCAGCAAAGTGGCTGGACATAAAATTAACTCAACAAATCAATAGCCTTCCTCTACTCAAAGGATAAATGGGCTGAGAAGGAAATTAGGAAAACAATACCCTTCACAATAGTCACAAATAATATAAAATATCTTGCTGTGACTCTAGCCAAGCAAGTGAAAGATCTGTATGGCAAGAACTTTAAGTCTCTGAAAAAATAAATCGAAAAATACCTCAGAAGATGGAAAGATCTCCCATGCTCATGGATCAGCAGGATTAACATAGTAAAAATGGCCATCTTACCAAAAGCAATCTACAGATTCAATGCAACCACCATCAAATTTACAACTCAATTCTTCACTGAGATAGAAAGAGCAATTCTCAAATTCATCTGGAATAAAAAAAAAAAAAACCCAGGATAGGAAAAAGTATTCTCAACGGTAAAATAACTTCTGAGGGAATTACTATCCCTGACCTCAAGCTGTACTACAGAGAAATACTGATAAAAACTGCATGGTATTGGTACAGAGACAGGCAGGAAGATCAATGGAATAGAACTGAATACCCAGAAATGAACTCACATACCTATGGTCACTTGATCTTTGACAAAGGAGCTAAAACCATTCATTGGAAAAAAGACAGCAGTTTCAACAAATGGTGCTGGTTCAACTGACAGTCAACATGTAGAAGAATGCAAAATGATCCAATTTTTTTTGGTTATTTTATTTATTGGTTATTTCATTTATTTAAATTTCTTTTTTATTGGATATTTTATTTATTTACATTTCAGATGTCATCCGCTTTCCTCATTTCCCCCCAAAACCCCCATTCCATCTCCCCTCCTCCTTTTTGTTTTTATACCATTTTAATTACTTGCAAGTATTAAGGTCAGTTCTAGGTTGAGGAACTAGCAATACAATAGATGCAAATAGTCCAGGAACAAGCAAGACAATAAACATAGTCAAAGAACAAGCAAGGCAATAAACAAAGTTCCATGAACACTCCCGTGATCATTATTCCCAAGGGCAAATCGATCCATTCTTATCTCCTTGTACAAGGCTCAAGTCCAAGTGGATCAAGGATCTCCACATAAAACCAGATACACTGAATCTAACAGAAGAGAAAGTAGAGAAGAGCCTCGAACACCTGGGCACAGGAGAAAATTCCCTAAACAGGACACCAATGTTTCAGGCTCAAAGATCAACAATTCACAAATGGGACCTCATAAAATTGAAAAGCTTCTGTAAGGCAAAAGACACTGTCAACAGGACAAAACAACAATATATAGACTGGGAAAAAAATCTTTACCAACCCTACATCCAATAGAGGGCTAGCATCCAAAATATACAAAGAATTCAAGTTAGACTCCAGAGAACCAAATACTCCTATTAAAAATGGAGTACAGAGCTAAACAAAGAATTTTCAACAGAGGCATCTCCAATGGCTGAGAAGCACCTAAAGAAATGTTCAACATCCTTAGTCATCGGGGAAATGCAAATCAAAATGACCCTGAGATTCTACCTCACATCAATCAGAATGTCTAAGGTCAAAAACTCAGGTGACAGCAGATGTAGGTCAGGATGTGGAGAAAGAGGAACAGTCTTCCATTGTTGGTGGGATTGTAAGATGGTACAACCACTTTGGATGGTTCCTCAGAAAGCTGGACATAGTTCTACCTGAAGATCCAGCTATACCACTCCTGGGCATATACCCAGAATATGCTCCAACATATAACAAGGACAAATGCTTTCACTATGTTCATAGCAGCCTTATTTATAATAGCTAGACTCTGGAAACCCAGTTGTCTCTCAACAAAAGAATGGATTGAGAAAATGAGGTACATTTACACAATAGAGTACTACTACTCAGTTATTAAAAACAATGACTTCATGAAATATACAGGCAAATATATGGAATTAGAAAATATCATCCTGAGTGAGGTAACCAAGACACAAAAGAACACACATGGTATGTACTCACTGATAAGTGGATATTAGCCCAAAAGTTCAGAATATCCATGATAAAACCCACAAACCATACGGAGCTTAAGGAGGAAGAAGACCAAAGTGTGGATGCTTCAATCCTACATAGAAGGTGGAACAAAATAATCACAGGAAGTACAGGGAGGGGGTATGTGGGAAGGAAAAAGGAGGGGGAGGGATAAGGGGGGCAGGATTAGGTATGGGAAGGGACAGGAGAGAAGTACAGAGGGTCAGGAAATCGAATAGAAATATGTAGCAGTGGGGGATGGGGAATTGGGGGTAGCCACTAGAAAGTCCCAGACATAAGAGAAGCAAGAGACTCCCAGGACCCAATGGGGATGACATTAGCTGAAATACCCAACAAAGCGGAGATAGAACCTGTAGAGACCACCTCCAGTAGATAGACAGGGGCCCCAGTTGAGGGATGGGGCCACCCTCCCATCTCAAAATTTTTGACCCAGAATTGTTCCTGTCCAGAGAAAAGACAGGGACATAAAAATGGAGCAGAGAGTGAAGGAAAGGCCATCCAGAGACCGCCTCACCTAGGGATCCATCCCATCTGTAGACACCAAACCCTGACTCTATTGCTGATGCCAAGAAACACTTGCTAACAGGAGCCTGGTATAGCTGGTCCCTGAGAGGCTCTGCCAGAGCTTGACCAATACAAATACAGATACTCACAGACAACCATCAGACTGATCCCGGGGACCCCAATGGAAGAGCTAGAGGAAGGACTGAAGGAGCTGAAGAAGATTGCAACCTCATCAGAAGAACAATATCAACTAGCTGGACCACACAGAATTCCAAGAGACTAAACCACCAACCAAAGACTATTTATGGAGGGATCCATGGCTCCAGATACATAGGTAGCAGAGGATGGCCCTATCTGACATCAATAGGAGGGGAAGCCTTTGGTCCTGTGAAGGCTCGATGCTCCAGCATAGGGGGATGCTAAAGAGGTGAGGCAGGAGTGGGTGAGTGGGTAGAGGCATAGGGGAGAGGGCAGAGGGAGGATGACTGGGGGGGGGAAGCAGGAAGGGAGATATCATTTGAAATGTAAAGGGATAAAATGATTAATAAAAGTATGTATATTAATTTTATATAGTATACTATATATTTATAATTATAAATTATTTTTATGTAATTTATAATTATATATCATATATTATGCATCATATATTATATTTTTTTATTTAATTTCATGTTTTATTTATTCACTTTACATTCCACTCACTATCTCCCTCCCGGTCATCCCCTCCCATAATCCTTCCCCCACCCCATCCCTTCTCCTCTGAGCACATGGGTGACCCCCATACCCCACCCCACCCCCAGGTACTTCAGGTCTCTGAGAAGCTAGGTGCTTCCCACTGAGGGCAGACAAGGCAGCCCAGCTAGAAGGACAAATCCCATGTACAAGCAACCGCTTTTTGGATGGCCCCCGCTCGAGCTGTTAGGGACCCACATATTAATCACACCAACTCTATAAAATTATCTGCTACTTGACATTTTCTGAAAAGAATTAAATGACATGAGATGTTAACCAGACACTGTGGTGCACAGCTGTAATCCCAGACCTTAAGAGATGAAGGCAAGAGAATCAGAACCTCAAGGGCAGATGGGGTAGAGCAAACACTGGAGAGGGAAGGAAAGCAGGGGAAAGGGGTGAAGAGGAAGAGAGGGGAAAGGATAGTAAGAGAGACAAAGATATAGAGACAGACAGATTGATTAAAGAAGGAACCAGGGCCTTATGCATGCTTATGCAATCTCATTGCTACAATTTTAAGGTAATGAAAGATTCAGATTTAATTTTAAATAAATGGTGTTATGTGTCTGGTTTAGAAAACAATAAGGTGCTGGGCAGTGGTGGCGCACGCCTTTAATCCCAGCACTTGGGAGGCAGAGGCAGGCGGATTTCTGAGTTTGAGGCCAGCCTGGTCTACAGAGTGAGTTCCAGGACAGCCAGGGCTACACAGAGAAACCCTGTCTTGAAAAACCAAAAAAGGGGAAGGGAGGGGAAGGGAGGGGAAGGGAG